GATACCTGGAATCCAGTGGAAGAGGCAAGACCTATTCTGCAAACCATTGCACTTCCCGAGCAAAATTGGGAGCTAACTGCAGATAGCCGCCGTCCCAAGCTGTTAAAGATAAGACAGCTGAATGCAGTAGCTAAGATATGGTTCCAGTTTATCATCAACAACATCCTCCCTACCACTCATACTTCTGAAGTTCAGGTCAGCAAAGCAGCTCTCATTTACACCATTATGACTGGTGGTACAGTGGACCTACCTTGGCTATTGGCAGATGGTATTTATGATTTTGCTCATCATAAATCTCAGAAAGCTGCTCTTGCACACAGCTCCCTTATTCAGACCTTGTGCCAAAAAGCGGGAGTAGAGATACCCACCGAACACAAGCCGGTGGAAGTGTGCCCCCCCCTATTCATGCTGCTTTCATTAACTACACCATGGGTATCCCTCCAGCACCCCCAGCACAGCATGTTCAGCAGGGAAGACAGCCAGATCTCCCTGCTATATGGGAAGCGGTGCAATCACTGCAACGCCAGCAGGGATCTATGCAGAGGAGAGCTCGGTACTCTCAGAGCAGGCAGATGGCCTTTCAGGATTATATGAGTGCACAGATAGTGGAGTTATTCCGCCAGAGAGAGATTCCGGCATTACCCTTCGAGTATCCAGCATATGTTGGATCTGATGAGGAGGCCCCAGGCACGACCACTGCTGCTGACACTGAGACGGCTGCTGCTGAGAGTGATGCAGTCCACATAGATGATGCCACTGCTGCTGAGGCCACAGTTAGAGATGACCAGGAGGATGCAGGAGATGAGGACACACCCACCACTGATATGGAGGAGGACTGATCCTCATATCAGTTTATCTGTTTCAGACTTTTATTTTTTTTTTGTTTCATTTTTAGTTTGTTGTTTTTACTGTTAGTCTAGCGTATGTTGACATGGGATGTATATTGAGACTGATCCTGACATGATTGATTTTTTTTTGGATATATGACATGCTGACGTAGTTTCTTTATCTGTCACATGCGTGCAGAGTACAATATCATTTTTTTTTTTCTGATATCTTGCTTAAGATTCTTTTTAGATTTAAATTTATTGCTGAGGACAGCAAGATTTAAATCTAGGAATGGGTACCCACGCAATTTATCAGACCATAAACTTCACATGGTCGGAAGGAGAAACTCATGATTACACGGAGTACACAGAAATATCCAAATTACAAATGCAGTTTTTCAGGGGAGTTTCTCAATATTATTTTCATATTATGTGATTTTAAATATATTATTTTGATTAAGTATTAGTTTATATTGAGTTTTCATATATAATAGTTTACTTTAATATTTGAAGTTTTAGATTAGTTTTAAGACCCATTCCATCTTAGTCAATAAATAATTAGTGGATCTTAAGAGATTTTCCATTGTGCTTGATATAGATGCATAATGAATAATTACATGAAATTGGTTGATAGTTGATATCAAGAGTATAATGATGTAAATAAATTTTATTTTCGTACATAAATGAGCGTCAGTCAAGCATGCTTCATAGTTCACTGGAATAAGAGAAGAATAACTAGAGTAATCAAAGAGGGAGTGGAAAATAAGTCTCACATCCTTAGTCGTAAGCTTTTGAGCCTAAACAGAATTTTTTTTGTGGTGTGAACTTTACTGTTGAATCACTTTAGAACTTGTTTGTTTCTCTTTGAAATGGTCTGTAGTATACAATTGTTGAAATGATAGAGGCAGTTCTTTTTAAAAGCTAGATAGCCAAATAGCCACCCTGAAGGTTTATTCTTAGATTAAGCCCTTTCAAGCCAAGGCATGTTTGTTCATTGACAGTACATTATGAATAGCCATTCCATACGCATCCTCACCTGAACTGATTAATTTTCAAAATTAAATGAGGAACTGGATAGGATTGAAACAAAAAGAGAAAATCAAACTCTAAGTGTATGGGAGAAAAAAGTGAAAAGAGGGAAATTGCCACAAGGTGGTGGAAAAAGGAAATGAAAAGAAAAAGGTTGAACTGTTTATCTGTACAAAAGCAGAAAAAGAAAAACAAAAGGAAGAAGGAAAAGAAATAAAAGACTCATATTATATGAATAAGTGGAAGAAGAAAAGAGGAGGAAAATAAGAGAAATCTGTTTACTATATGTTGAACAGTTAAACTAGTTCCTCTTTGAAGTTGAATTTTGATCAGTTATCTTAAGCCACTTACCCAGATGATTCCTTTCCTTTTACCTAAGCCACGTTACAACCTTAACAAAGACCTCTTGATTGACTTTGTATACTAGTAAGACTGTGGAGAGTGAGAATATAAACAAGCTTATGGTAGTGTTAATTTAGTAAAGTAAGAGTGAAACACATACCCTTAAACACTGAGTGTGAATGAATAAATAAAAAAATCCAGTGAGAGAGTGTTGTGGAAATTAAATTGTACTACTCTTTCTTTTGAGAACGCATGTTATGATTTTATGACTGGTGAATTATGACTGTTTGCTTGAAATTGATGTGTCATTGATTTTTAATAAGTCTGAATACTTTGATATCTCATTATTGACCAGTTTTCTGCCTGTTATTCATCAAGCATGACTAGCCGTCTCCAAACTTTCCCATAGTTTTATTCTAATTAATTGCTGAGGACAGCAATGTTCAAATCTGGGAATTGTTTGATAAACCTTTAGTTTATCTTGTTTAATGGACTAAAATAATATGAATTATCTAGTTGAACAAGTCAAAAATTAGGGTTTTAAAATGATAATCATGAACATTATCTGATTGTTGGAACTAATTAATATATTTGTTATTTTTAAAGGGATTTGATAACAAATGATTCAAATATGAAGATTTAGATAAAGAGAGATCAAATCAGAAAAGAAGATGAATCAAGGTGAAAACAATAAGATTGAAGATCTTATCAAGTTGTTAGAAGTGGGAGCTTAAGCCCCCATTCAGAAGCATAAGCTCCCTAAAAACGCAAATAGCTACTGCCTCTAGGCGCTTAAGCCCCCAACTCAGGGCTTAAGCGCGCCACAAGAAGAAAATGTTGTCGCCAGGAGCGCGCTTAAGCGCCCTCCAGAGCGCTTCAGCGCGCAACGCGAGTCAGAATTCATTGTCCTAGGGCGCTTAAGCGCGCTACAACAGGCTTAAGCGCCCAGACAGATCCAACTTAGGCCCATTCGAGTTTTCTACTAGGATACGAACTCTTGGCCAATAAAAAGGCCATTGGGGACCAGAAATACACAACTTTTACATTGCTAAACAACTCTTGGGTGCTTGGAGGCTGAAGGAACGCGGAGGAACATCAGATTCATGTTCGTGAGCGGCAGAGACGGATCAACGTCAAGTGTTCACTGGAGATATTGAAGATCCACCAATTATCTATGGAGTTTGGGGGAGCTTTTCTATTTTCTTTTGTTCTTGATTTTGCTATGTCCGGCTAGTTCTTTAAGTAGTTAGGGTTACATGGATTTTAGTCGATTTATTATGCTTTGAACAATTCGTACGTTAATTCTCCTTTTTATCATGAATGAAGTTATCTGTTTTTAATGCTTTATATAGGCTTGAATCTTATATAATGATCATTGGTAAATGCATGACAATAGGGATGTTGGTGTGTGATCCATATCTGATAACTTCATCGTAAACGCTATGATTCTAGGGATAGACATAAAATTTGCATAACCTTAAGATTCTTGAACTTAATGCTTGCATTCTTGGGGAATAACCGGGGAACTAGGGTTCTTCCAAGTTTGTAAAGACTTTAGGGTAACAAGGGATTGAGCTCTAATAACACGCGAAAGAATTGGTTAGATTGATATTAAGGACGGTTAACGTAAAGAAGGACTTCGAATCATAATAAGGAGATTAAAGGAAATCGAACCCCTAACTACGTTTTTATTTTATTAGTTCAATCAAATTTTTACCTTCTTGTTTTTAATTCTTGCGAGTAGTTAGCTTTAATATTTAATAACTTCAATTTTGCAATCCAAATCCTGTTTCCGAATACAACTTTGATTGTCCAACTTAAGTTGCGATAGTGAATTGGTGCTTGAACCGTAATCCTCGTGGGAACGATCTCTTACTTAATCATATATTACTTGTACGATCGGTGCACTTGCCGTGAGTATCAACAATAGGATAAAATGAGACAATAGGATAAGCTAATCATATCCTATTGACCTACCAAACAAGAGATAAAAGTAAGATATGATAAGTTATCCTATCCTATCTTCTTTATAAGGTGCTCCAACTTCCACTAAAACATGGAAACTCGTGTACTATTCTCGAGACAGAAATTTTGTTTACCAAGTAATATCTACTTAAATCAATTAGTGATTCACTTCGGGGAATTGTTGAGAGCACATATCCAGATTTTAATAACGAATGTGGGATGAATAATATATCAGAGAAATAGAAATGCTCATCTTTAAATGCTATATTGATGAGATCAACGATTACACTTTTGATATATTTGAAGGTCCAATAAAATAATACAGAAACTCAGATGAGATTGCTAGTGTAATTGAGAACATACTTGAATAAGATCTCATATATCCAATAGAATTCTTGAATTCCTTAATGATTTCCAAGCCTTTACTTCCCACTAAAGAAGGAATGCCAATATGCTGATTAGAAACATTAATCTTGCATTACGAATAATAGACTGGATTAGTGTTGCATTAAGATTTGCAATCACATATACAAGTATTCCCTTGTGAATGTAAGATTAATGAATTGGTTCAGTTAAGTACGACTCTATAACATTACCTGAATATGTTATTCATTTAACTTCTTTCACAACATTACTTTTTTGACTGATTCTCCTCCTTCCTGCACCTCTCTTTGAATGAATCTACCATAAAGCACTAAATAAAGCTAAAAAGAACTTCCTCAGCAACAGTTACATGCAAATCAAACAGATGATGACTTGACTTAAAACCCAAACGATACAGCTTCTGAGACAAAGTTACCAAAACAAAGAGGAAAATGGTGCAAAGGAAACTCTTTATAATGGTCATCAGAATATCTCTTCTGTTCTTCTTAAATTTGTGGGAAAGAACCTAAACATGAGTATTAGTATTCTAGTAAGTTACAGTTCACATTTAAAGAATTGAAGTGCTGCTCCTCTCATTGTTATTTGAAGATACATGATATTCACCCAAGAAAATGATACAGCAAAAGGAAAAGATAAAGATACAACTTAAATCAGGCAGCACCAGCCTCAGTTGGTGTTGTACAAGGAGCCAGTGTGTTTGGAGGCAGGGTGATACCACCCCCTCTAACAGAAATACTGGTGAACTTGACAGAGCTTGCCCTACTCACAAGATTTGAGTCAATAAACACAACAATCACTGTGATATCATCGTGGAAATGCCTGCGAACCCCGCGGTCGATTTTCTTTAGGTCTGAATATCTCATTTCTCTCTTCTTTGCCGCTTCTTGAAGTGCAGCTTTCACCAGCCTCCTTGCACTTCCCTGAAATAAGTATAGAAGATAAACCATATATCCACTTTGTATTGTGCTTACTGCATGAGATGCTTCAGCAACTTATAACATATAATCCCAAAGAAAAGGCTTTAAGTTGTTTCCATGATGTCATACATAAATCTAGATAATATTTAATATGCCATGTTATAAAGCAGTTTAAGCATAAGTATATGCAATGGGATTATTTGATTCAGCCATCATTCGTATATCAAAGATTATCTATCACATTTTCTGTAGCTTCAAGGCCAATTTGCACAAAACATTTCATATCAGCAAATAGTTTTCAAAGTTAAGAGCAGATTATTTATTTTGCAAGAGTTATTCAAGTCAAGGGAAAGCTTTATGCTCCACTTCCACAACTGTGTAGGACAATTATATCCGACAACATTTTCGGTTGAATTTAAAGAATAAGATTCTGTTACATGCAGCACATCCAAAAAAAAGTAAAATAACCCCGCCACTGACACACAAAAATAAAAAATAAAAATCTGCACATAAGCACATTCAAGCTATGACAGTATGACACATACATGCAATAAACTATGTTCAAAAGATTAAGTTAGAGATCTGAGAAAAGCGGTATTACAATCACATTCAACAGTACGGCGAATTCACTTGAACATAAAGTACCCAGGACAAACAGGTAGAACAAAAAATCTACATCGATTTCTTTCAGTCTAAAATAGCCATAATTTTTCCATTTTAATCTCACAGAAAATGGTATAACAATATCTAGCATGGTAGTATTTAAATATATATATCTTACACTGTGGGGATTGTTTTGAACTATATCAACTGCTTCTTGATTGCTAAGGTGCTCCCAGAGACCATCAGATGCAAATATAATAAACTGATCATGTGGCTGCAACTGGTGCACTGATATTGATGGTTCTGAGCTCAATATTGGCCTCTTGAAAGGCTCGCGAAGTCGAAACTTTGCATATAGAGGTTCTCTATTGAACTCCGCCTTTTTAAGATATACATCACCAATAGATCTAGAAACCTGTAAGTTAAAAATGTTTTAGAACTAATGTAACGCAATATAAGAAGGGATGGGGGAAAACACTCCAAGGCAAGCTATGCTGATGCTTTTTGGATACCAACCATAATTACCTCTTTGAGGTGAGTAGGCTCTCCCGGATATCCCCACAAGCTTCGGCTCTTTGAGCCGGCTATGAGACTAGTCCCGAGTACGGGGCAGATCAAGGATTTAAAGTTTTATGCTGATGCTGATAACACAAGAAATGACGACTAAAACTGCTTTTTCATAAAGAGAAAAAATTGCATGATACTAAGTTAAGGGAAATTTCAGTATAATTGCAACTTGTAAGAAATAATTAACCCCATTTAACGCAATGCCTAGAGATACCAAACAAATTAAGGGCGAATTCAGTCATGATACTAAGAAGGCTTAATTTTCTATTCTATGCAAATTATAGTTTTCTGGTAATACAAAATTATAACGCATGCCATTAATTATTATAATATTAATGCTATCAAGTTGAATTGCATAAAAAATCCAAATGAAGTTGAGAGAAATGACCAGGACCTACTTCCATAAATAAATTTGACACCATGATTTTTCTGTCCTTTTACTTTCTCACGTTCCACCCCCACCCTGCACCCCACTCCCCACCCTTTACCCAACTCCCCACCCTTTTTCCTTCGGCATAGTTCCTGTATTCTTAAGTCATTCTTCATATCCAGAAAACTTAATGTAATATTGCATCCTTAAAACTGAAAATTTGCCTCCAACACTGAAATGTTCAAATTTAAAATGTTCAAACTTAATCTGTCATGATGTGTATCTATATGCGCTAGTGTAGATAAAAAAAGCCTCTAGCATCAAGAAACTAATTTTATTTAGCAATGAATTTATAATTGACTTACTTGAATAATGCCCTTCACACGCCATACATTATGCTTCAAAACAACAATGTGTGAGTCATCAGGGTGTAAAGATTGCAGCTCATGTCTTACAGACTCTATTGCTGCATTATGCTCTGCGGACAATTGCATGGCTAAAACCTCCCCAGTTGCCTTGACTGCTCTTCCCAAAACAGCCCGGGAATCACCAAGATTTGCGATATAAAGGGTTCCATTACAAATAACACCGACAAGACAGCATGACCCAACAGCTGCAATTTGTGGTTTCATTGACCACTGTTTGGCAACAAGTGACATAAATCCCTCTTCTGTTGCTTGGATTGACTTGCGAATTACATCCACTGACATTGATTGTTGCTCTGCAGTAAACCCTGAAATTTAATAAGCATGAATTCTTTTGATTGACAATCATATGGAGAAAAACAATTCAAAACATAGTTAAATCCTTAAATAATAGACATGCAACAAATAGGTATTGAAAATTATAATTTCTGTAGTTTCAAATCAGCTTATATCTTAAACTTTTTTATGCTATAATTAATGCATAGCTGATATAATGATAGGGGAAAAAAAGTGCTAGCACCATATCATGAAGCAAAAGAATGAAACTTTACTAAGTCACTTGTCGTGCTCTAACAAATTTATTCGGGTAGGAACAAAAATAAAAGAAAGAATGAAAAAAGTCCCTTTTAGACATCTATTTAATTTCACAAGGCAAATTTTTTTTTGCCTTTTTTACATCAAAACAGGCAGCAGAATACAAACACTTCTATTCTCTAATCTTTCTAGCTCAACAAGGTTTCCCTAGGATAAATTTTTACACCATAGCTCCCTGTATGTTTTTTGTCCAACATAAAAGGAAATTTATTCGGGTAGGAACAAAAATAAAAGAGAGAATGAAAAAAAATCCCTTTTAGACATCTATTTAATTTCACAAGGCAAATGTTTTTTGCCTTTTTTCCATCAAAACAATCAGCAGAATACAAACACTTCTATTCTCTAATCTTTCTAGCTCAACAAGGTTTCCCTAGGATAAATTTTTACACCATAGCTCCCTGTATGTTTTTTGTCCAACATAAAAAGAAATATTAACCACACGAAATGCTTAGAATCGGAAGGCAGAGGAAAATACAACAAAATCAACAAGTACAATTTATGCTAACAAAGAAAAAAAGCTTAAAGAATTCACTTATCTTGATGTCACTTACTCTTGAGATGGTGAATTAGGTGGTCATTGATAAACCGTGATGTCTCAGGCCCTCCATGCCCATCATAGACACCAACAAAGGTACCATAAGGGCCCGATTCACTGGAGCTCAAACTGCCTGATTCAATATGACTCTGATCCTCCAACAAGTTGTTGGCTTGGACCACAGCCATTGAAAACTCACCATTCAAGTGCTGCCCCGAGTCTTTGTACCACAAGAGCCCGTCCTGTTTACCTCCAGCATCTGAACCGCTGCGCGCATATCGATCCGAACTTGGCCGAAAGCAGGCCGTCAAATAATTCATCAACTCCGATAACATCCCTCATCTCACCACACAACCTTCAGAAATTTCCACATCTATTAACCACCCAAGAACAACTTCACCTCAAGAATTTTAAGTCACAGATACATAGGTTTAGTCCTGCACTACACCAGTCACCACAATGATGAAGATGATGAATCCACTACAAACTACTACTGATAAAATCAAATTAAGGCTTAATTTAAAGTAAAACAAACCACCTGTAACAGTTTTCTAAGGTATGAATTGTATCCAGAAACACAAATAAGCTTCTCCAATCGAAACTCTTGCTTTAGTTGCTTTTTCAAATCACAACAAAAACTAAGACCAAGTACAGCCCGTAACTATGAAAAACTCAAGAGGAAGAGGTAAAATTTATACTCTTTTTCTTCTTGTTTTTCAAAACAAGGTCAAACCAACTTTTCCTCAGTCAAGCTTTTGGTCAGCTTATAGAAATTTCACATTCAAATTGGAAAATGAAACCCCAACTCAAATTAATCTCCATAAAAGCCAATAATGGCAACAAGTTAGCTTTTTCATCAAGTATACCTATATATGTTGTACATAAAAAACAACATAACAATTAAAAAAAATAAAAAAAATAGAAAAGAGATCTCACCCAACAATTGGACTATTAATTGGAAGCTATGTTGGATGACGCCCCAGTTGAAGAAAATAATGATCTTGAAACAAGAGGGAAGTTAAAAGTATGTGAAACAACTAGATCTGTGGATCCATCAAATCAACATGAAAGAACACAAGTGGGTTTGTTCTTCTATTCTTCTTTTCTGTTTTTTTTTTCCCCTTCACTTTCTATGTAGCAAGCCAGTTGTAGTACTATTATTATCTACATACATAGATGATGAAAAAAAATTGTTGAAAGAAGAGGTACATGGAAGAATTAAAAAATAAAGACTTGATTTTTTATTTTTATTTTTTTGGTTAAATATTAGGCCAACTGAAAACCCTTTCCTTTTCCATTCTTCTCAGTTCAGCAGACAAGCCCCATAAAAGCCCAACAATGGAGAGCTCAAAGACAGCAAAGCAGAGGTCCACACACACCACAATGCTAGAGAGAGAAAGTAGAGTTAGATAGAGACAGAGAGAGAGAAAGTCAATGAAGATTGAAGCATGTAACATGGGCAATGATAGAGTTGTTTAGGCTAATGTTATGGGCATTCACTTAAAATTGGTTCACATTATGACACGTGGAATTTGTGGTGTTTTTACAGCATGTGACTATGCTCTATGTTGTCTTTTTCTGATACACGTGTCCCCTTCTCACGTTGATGACACGAAAGAGTTATTTTGTTACGAGGTTAACGTAGCAGGTTACGAGTTCCTCCCTCGCTTATCCTGTAAGAATGTAATTTTGGAATAAATCTTTGCTGCTATTGTGCATCCAAATTCAGTGCATCTCATCAATAGGAACATTACACATCAGAGGTGAGAGAAAAAATTTGACAGAAAAAAAAACTTTGACTAACATGTAATATTTTTATTAGTAAGATGTACTGAATCTTTGGTGCAACAGTAGTACTAAAGATTTATTCGTAATTTTGACCCAGCCCACAAAATTAGGTTTGAAATTGATTTTTAGAATTGCAATTGAGAATTTTAATTTTGAGTCTAATGTTACAAAATTGAAACCAATTATTTTGAGGAAAATCTGTCGAGCGATAATGAAAGTATAATTTTCATGTAATTTATGAAAAAAAATACAATATTCGAATATTAACATTATTTCTGTATTTTAGAATACAATGTTCAAATATCACGGCATGGTTTATTTTTTAATATAAGTCCGTGATTTTTTTTATTTTTTTCTTTTTTCGCAAACTAATGACGCGATATTAGAATATATAAAGTTTATATTAAGGTAAAAGCATTTGTATTTCGCTCTTCAAAATTTGAATATTATATGTCACTTTTTTTAGCCATGTCAAATTGAAATAGATAGATGAAGTAAATTATCGTAGATTTGTATTTTTTAAAGACTAAATTCAAGTAATAATAATAATAATAATAATAAACGAAAACGTTTTTCTTTTTCTTTTTTTTTGTAATACTACGAAAACGTATTTCTAATTTCATTTAGTATGGGTTACTACTGTCCCAGTCCCCACCACTACCCAAGGGTTATTTAACTTTATTTGGTGATGGAATTGCTGATTTTTTTTGGTAAACATGGAATTGCTGATTTTGATCCAAGTTCAGTGTTACATTCTTTTTCAATTATGTTGATAAATTGTTAAATGAGATTTACGTTTTACGTGAATATAATTAAGGGTTTTAATTTTTTCGTGCAGTAGAAATAAAATTCTTATATTATAAATATATTTTACGTGAGATCGATATCTATTAAAAAAATAAAATAAAAATATATATTATACAAAAATTGAAAGATTACTATTAAAATAAAATAATTTTCATGAAAAAATACTTTTCCTATAATTAAAACTCCCTTTTTGATATGATAACGTATAGTAGTGATTATAAAACAAACTTGAATAAAAAAGCAAAGTTGTGTGATCGCTGTCCAATTTAAGTGGACCATTTTGTTCATGGGTCAAATGACTCTCCCGTGTCAGGTCAGGATAGTCAATCTCTTATGTCAAGAGATAGAAAAATAAAAAAAATCTTTATCCTTTTAAATGACATAATTTATATTCTTTTACTCTCACAAAGAAGTGAGACTCACATCTTTATTTTTTTTGTAAACTTTCTCTCCTCCTTTATCTATCTCTTTCTCTTTCTTAAAATGACACAACTTTATATCCTTTAAAATGATACACACTTTTCTCTATAAAAATAGATAGGTTTTACATGTATAAAAAAAGGTTTTATAAGAGTTATGTTGTAGAAAAAGTAATTGTGTAATGTTATAGAGATTCATTTTGCGTGCTGTAGTTTTTTTTTGTTTCGAAAAGTGTGGGTCTCACAAAAATATTATGTGTGTAGAAAACTTTGTTGTGTCATGTTAAATAATAAATGAAAACCCTAAAAAAGAGTAAAATGCAAATTTCGATGTATAATCTAAAAGCTCCCCTCGGGATCACGAGAACTTTTTCGGTACGATTGTAGTATCAAAATTATTTTCCAAATTAATAAATAATTACGACTTAAAAGGAAAATATATTTGTACTAAAAAAAAAGGAAAATCTATCAAATAGATATGAATTCAAATGATATAAAAAATATTGATTAGGAAAAAAGAGAATATTGAATTCGATGGGCGTTTGGTACAGGAGAAATTTTTATTTGTCCGGGAATCTCAATTTTCAAAAATATGATTTTTACATTCAGTTTACGATAATATCCGAAAATTTAAAATTTAAAAAAATTCAGTTTCCTGGAAATCCGGCCAAATGCCGTGTACCAAACGCCCTAGGGGGTATTTGGTATCCAGATTCTTTGAGTTCCTTGGAAACTAGGCATGGAGAATTGGAAGACCACATTTGGAAGCAAAAATATTACACTTTTCCTAAGAAACAATGTTGCCCAGTTTTGCACTTCATGTATGAAAAGTGGTACTAAATTTCTCCATCCAGAAAATGGAATATTAGTTTTCGCGAGAAGTAAAAAGAGAACTAAAATATTGTGGACAATAATAACCTTACTTTTTGGTAATGTTGAATATAATATAATATTAAAAAATAAAAGTAGGGTTATTTTAGTAAAATAACTTTATATTCTCACTAATATTTCACAATCAACCAAACAGACATTCAGTAAAATGAACCACAAAATTCCAGAAAAAATTGGTCATACCAAACAATTTTTTAATAACATTCCAGCAAAATATATTTCTTATTATATTTCATTAATCTATTATTCTCGAATAAATAAAAATTTCTCTTCTACCAAATGCCTTCATACTGTATTAAAATATTTCCGAGAAACCCAGCCTCAAGATGTACTATAATACATGGGTAAGAGTTACCGTAAAGTTTGAAGCTGTGTAACTGTTTTCTTGAGCTAATAGGTACTTATCCCTCTCTTATATATATGATATCTGTCTCCTATTTCCTTTTTCTCTCAATACAAATAGAGCTTGTGAATTGTGACGTTAGCATGTATATATGAATGTACGTAATATTTAAAGGAAGAATTATTTTATACTTGAATGTACGTAATATTTAAGAAGTACGCATGATATATTTAACGTTTGAACAACTTCCAATTTTTTTAAAAGACTTCTTTTATAAGCTTAATAATCTAGGTATAGAAAAAATGATATGATAAAAGTATTTTCTTAAAAGAAAACTTTCTAATTAAAAAGCACAAGTAATCGAACATTGAATTGAGTTGAGCCTCTCAAGTTCACCACATGAATTATTGAATAAGACATATCCTTCAATTGGATGTTCGCTTCAACTCTATTGTTTACTGTACAGGTATGTTTGGATAAACGTTTATTTAAATGATGTTAGGTTTTAATGTTTCCACAGTAAATATAGATTAATTATTTACATTCATTCTCAAAACGACGTTGTTTTATGTTGAAGAATTAAAAAAAATATAAGGAGAAAGACTATATTATAACCTTGAAATAAATTATAATTATAAAAAAATCTTGTTTTCCGTCTTAAAACGACATCATTTTGGGTTCAATGTAGATAATTTATCTACATTGATCGTAAAAAAAACAAACCCTTTATTTTATATAAAAAACAAAGAAATATATGAAATGCAAGTGTACTAGGGGTGTTCGCGGTCTGGATTGGATCGATTTTGAAAGCAAAAATCATCTGATCCAATCCTTTCGGTTTAATCATATAATCATCCATTCGGTTTGGATTTTTTTCCAAATCCGATCCGATCCAATCCAATTTTTTTCGGTTTGGATTTGATCGGTTTTCGATTTTTTGAAAATTCTAAAATTTATTTCATGATTATTGTACAAATAATATGTTGTAAATAATATTGATTTAGTTATTATTTAGTTTTTATTTAGTCATTTATTGTTGTATTGGGCCAAGCCCTTTGTTGTATTGGGCCAAGCCCATTAGGTTAAAAGTAGGTCAAATATTCTCTATACATAGAGAACCCTTTGTACAGATTATTTACAATTCTATAATATATTAGAATACCCTTTTTCAAGTTGGTATCAGAGCTCTCGATCTGAGGGCTTTGCTTCCGCACATATTATCTTCTTTTTTAACAAAACCCTAATTTCTTTGCCTCTTGCCGCCATTAGCCGCCACCGGAAAAAATTTTCGGGGACCTTTTGGACCAAGGGGACCATTGTTGACCTTATTTTTCCTCCGATCTATCATTCTACGCAGTGTTCCTCCGCCACAAACGACTGAAACACGTCCGATCGCCTCCAATCAGATCTGTCTTCACCGTTTGGACCACTTTCCGGCGACTTTTCAACCGCGACCACCCACAGACAGGTGTGCGCTCACCGGACGACCACACCAGAAAAATCTCAGCCGGCGAAGCCCATCCACGCGCTCTCACGCGCCGCCCCTTTCCCAGCGAGTGAATCCCACGCGCAGCTCCTTTCTCCGGCGCGTGGAGGCGCGTGCGGCCGTGTTTTTGGACCGGACCACCACCATTCTTC